TGATTCTGATAAAAACAGTTAACATCCTAGTAAAAAGAAGGGCTTTTCCTCTGCATGCCCTATTGAAATGAATAACCAACAGAGGAACTTAAAACTAACAAACTAGAAGTAACTTCATTGAAGACAGAACAAAATAAGGGTAACTACTCTCACACTCTTAATTAATATTATTCTTGAAGTTTTACCTAGAAGAAGAAAATAGAGATGAGGTTTGGAAAACTCTTCCTAATGATTACTACTTAGAGACAACTATCATTTTATAAAATTCCAAGCACACATAATCCGAGTACTTGGGAGTCATACAAGTCAAATATATAACAATCTGCTGTTTTCCTTCAAATCTGTGACAATCAATTTGAAAAGATAATGGGGGAAAATACAAGTCACCATAACAATAGCATATATATTCCTCTCAGGGATAAACTAAACAAGAAAACTATGCAGACAAGTAGCTAACCATTTGTGAAAAAATAAACAGTTCTACCACTTTTAAAGTCATCTAAAGCATAAGCAACAGAAAGACATATAGGTGGGTGCTTTTAAAATCTTGGATTTTGAAAGATTTTTTTAACACTTTAGTATCAAAGACACTAACTATAAAGAAACAGATGCACAGATCTGACTACAAAATTAAACTATTAAATTTCAAAATGTATCACATATAAAGACAAAAGAAGGGCCCCGGGATTTAGCTCAGCAGGATAAGTACCTACCGGGAAAGCGCGAAGTCATGCGTTCAATCCCCGGTACCAAAAAAAAAGATAAAAGAAAAATGACACATTGGGCAAAATTATAAATAATATGTGTAAGAGTTAATTATTATACACATACTGAGCTCTCACGAGGCTACTGCAAAAAGATCTCAATAAGGAAAAAAGCAGCAAGAGGTGAACAGACAATACACTGAAGGATAATAAATGGATAAGAATACGTTCAACTCATTGGTAATCAAAAACATAAGATTTTCTTCTTGTTCACATTAACAAGGATAAAAGGAATAGTATCTAGTATTGCTGAGAGTATAAAGAAATCGGTACAATTTTTCTGTAGGGAAATTTTGTAAAACAATATAAATCTCAATAATGTAGACTAATTTCTGGATATCATAATTTCAGTTCTAACTTACTCTAAGAAAATACACAAGTTGAAAGGTTCTTGCCCTAGTATAAATCACTATACAATTATGCTGGTGGTCTAACGTGCCCCAAGGCCAACGCAGGAACACTTACCACTTCCTGCTTCTTCTTCAGCCCAAATTGCAACTCCCTTCCTGTCTGCACGCACAGAGAATTCCAATCAGTTCCTCACGCGTCATCAATGCTGCCCCATGCACCACTTCTGATCAGAGGTCATATAACCCTCTGCCTCTCGGTATCTGGTTGAAAAAGACAGCCCAACCACCATGGGTTGTGTGCGCCTTTCCACATCGTCAACTCAACAAACCTTTCATTTTGTACTTTTTGCTTCTCTATTGCGTATTGCGCCAGAATACTTTTAACATAAGTACACAAAATTTGGCTATTAATAAAAAAAGATCCGGGCTGGGGATTCAACTCAGCGACATAACCACCTGCTACAAGGGATATTTGTCATTGAAACATTGTTAATAATGTGCAGAAATTAGAAAACTAAATAAACCAGTTCACAAAGGACTGGATAAATGATAATTCCATATTATGAAGAGTACTATAGCCAACAGCCATTAAAATGACATTACTACTAGAGTTTACCTGGTAAGCGACATGTAGGTGACAATCACTTTTTGTTTGAGACAGGCTCTTACTAAATTGCCCAGACTAGCCTTGAATTCTTGATCCTCCTATTTCAGTCTCCCAAGGTACTGAGATCACCGGTATGCACCATCACACACATCTGGTGCTACACAATTTTTGTTTAACTATCTATATATAGTTGAACATAAATATATATATATATATATATGTATGTATTTATGTATTTACAACTATGTAAATATGTGAATATATACACCTCCTTTAGAAAAAAGTATTAAAGGACAAAAATAACCATTCTAATGGATAATAGTATGATAGGAACATCAGTTATCTGCCGAACAAATGATGCCAAAATTTAGTGGCTTAAACAAAAACCACTCATTATCAGTTTCTTGGAATTCGAAAAGCAGCTCAGCTAGGTAGTTCCGTTTCATGGATCTCAAGAAATTTCAGTCAAGATGGTGGCCAAGGCTGCCAGCTTCCAAAGATGGCTGGTATTAAGGAACTCGCCCTCCAGGAGATCCATTCACACAGCTGCCGACAGGATGCCTCAATCTTTGCCTTACAGACCTTCTGATGTGGCTTCTTGCCATGGTAGCGGGTTTCCTCCAAGCATGACAGAGGCTATAACATCTTTATGACCTATCCTAAAAAGCCACACTGTCATTTCTGACACATACCAGGCATTAAAAACAAGTGTTACCAGGCACAGTGGTACATGACTGATAATTCAGCTACTTGGGAAGCTGGGGCAGGAAGACAAGTTCAAGACCAGTGTTATAGTCAAGGCTTTACAAGAACCGATTTAATACAGGACACATAATTTATAAATTATTTTATAATATTCACCCAAAAAGTCAAATGCAGAAGAGTTCAAGAGATCTGTCAGTGCGGTAGAGACTTGAAGAATCCAGTCGAGGGTCTGGATCCCACGGCAATATCCCAATGGGTCTGGTCGGAGGCCTAGGCCTAGGTACCATGGATCTGCACCCAGAAGGCCCAAAGGCCAGTGGTGAAAGCTAGAAAGTCTGTGCTGGAAGGCTGAGGGATCTGCAGTGGAGCCAACAAGTGAAGCTCAAGGTGAAGACCCAGAGCTCCCCCAAAGATAATAGCAGCTATCCCTGGTACAGGGAGGACCTAAGCTTCAACACCACCACCAAGTTTGCTATCAGGAAAACCAGCCACAGCAAGCTTCTCCAGGAGAATCAACAGCATACAACCTTCCCTTCCAATTCACCTTTTATGCTGTTCAGGCAGTATTCCTCACATGGATCTTTATGTCCAGAACCACACTCAGTTCAGCTGGGTGTTTGCGTTTAAGTTGACCATTAATTAATCCATCACAGCCAACGGGGACAATTTTGTTAAAACTATCTCAAAAAATAAGTTTTGTGTGGTGGCATGTGCCTGTAACCTCAGCACTCAGGAGGCTAAGGCAGGAGGATCTCCACCAGTTCAAAGTCATCCTGGGTTACATACTGAGTTCAAGACCACCCTGAACTACAAGACGAGACCCTGTATCAATTATCACTCACTCACTCACTCACTCAGTCAACCAACCAGGCTGGCTCAGTATACACAACGCCACAGGTTCAGTCTCTAGTACTGCAAAAAATGAAAAACAAAACAGAACAGTAAGTCCAGCTCTTACTCAAAGGGGAAAAAAATAAGTTATACCTTTTGAAGCAGTAAGCAATCAGTTTGTGGACGATTTTGAAACCCCAAAAATTGGTAGTATATCCAGAAAAAGTATACATTTATAAATGAAAAAGTTAATTTCATAAATACATGAACATACAAAGGTATAAAGAGACAACTTAAAAATCCTCAATAAGCATATGGTACCTTCCCACAAAAGCTAACATAATCCCACTCTGACTAGGAGAAAAATGGCATCCAGAACAAGTTCTGTGATCCTCTACCATTAAGACCACATCTAGAATATCCTGTTCGGCTCTGAGTACCACAATTAGTAAATCTGGTATGGAAGGTGAACAAATTGGAGCTGACCATTTAGATGAGTTACTTCAGGAATGAAGAACAATCTGGGGAGCAACTGGAGGTGTCTGCCTTAACGCAGTTAGACTTCAGAGGGAGAGAAAAGAGTAGGGCATATCATAGCCTTCCCTGTATACACATGGAGAAGTTAAGAGGTGAGAGGCAGAACCTGAACCAATGAGTCAGGTAACAGGTGTTCAATCACCTCAACATGATGAACTGTTTAACAATTAGAGTTGGTAAAATAAACCTTGAGCCATTCAATGAATTTTCCAAGTGGCTACAGGAGAAATATACAGAGCCAGGGGGGCATGCAGCTCAGTTACTCTGAAGTTCATGTCCAAACTGGTCTTTCCCTATTCATACCAGTGTGGCTAATGTTGAAACCAACCCTATGGCCCTTGCCAAAGCAGTAGACCTGACAACAGGGCCTAAGCCAAGAGGTGTAAATGAAATGTGTGATAGTTTGTACAGTATAGGGCCTGGCACATAATGCAGTAAGTGCCTGACTTGGAAACATCCAAGATGCAAACTTTTACAAGTGCATTGTATGATTTACAGGTGTAGTAAGATTCACTTTGTTGGATTTTGAAGGAATGTGACTTACAAATGTTCTCCTAGAACAGAACTTGTTCATAAGTTAGGAACTCACTGTTAAGTATGTGCTTTATGGATTTCAACTATAACCTGTGTTGACTCAGAGTATGATGGAATGCTCTGCAAGGTTCCTTCCAATTTCTAAGACTACAAAAAGTTTTAAGTCATGTCACTATTAATCCTGATAGTCAGCTTCAGAAATAATATAAATACTTAAGTGACAAAATTTATCTTCAAAGGTAGAATGGTTGGAAATGCTTTGGGAAATCACACAGAATAGAGGTAGACATACTGCACAGACATATAAAAACCACAAAACCCAAAATTAAACATATCAAACACGTCATAGCCTCATTGGTGGATATGACCTGCTTTCTAGAATCGTGTTATTTTTAAAAATTAATCAATTGATAATTTTTTTGGAGGCCATGTTTGCTATGCAGTTAAGGCTGGACTTGAAATTCACTATGTAACCCAGACTGGCCTCGAACTTGTAGCAATCCAACTGCCTCATCCTCCCCAGTCCTGGGACTACAGGTGTGGGCCTGGCATGAAGTTATTTTAAAAAGGAGATTTAAACAGGGCTATTTCATTTCCTTAGCACAAATTAAATTACTACAATTAGATTATTCACCCATGCCTGCCAACTACCCACCACAACTGAAAACTTACTTTTTGGGTGCCAGCAGCCTGGATATTCTGCCATGTTGCTATAGGTTCTGTAGCTACGTGCCACTCTGGGTAAGTTTTCATGAGTAACTTCACAAAGGTAGACTTTCCCACAGCTGTAATGTAAACAGCATATATTGGGATTGTTCTCAAATCAGGATGAAGAAAGCTACTACACTCTACTATGAATGAATGCTCTAGTCAAAGGGCACCAGTACCAGCAGCCATACTATTGTCGGACTCATGGTGGATCTGGCCATACCATCTAGAGTCATTATAATGAATATAGGCAACAGAAGAAAACTCCTTTCAAGGTTTGATTGGCAATTCCAAAGTCCCCCAGCTTCCAGAGACAAAGTGGTTATCAGCATTGAAAATTTAACAGAGCCATCAAAAGTTGGTGAAATCAACTACGTAAAGCTTAAAGCACGGCTCAGGAGGTCAGAGCATTCTCTTCTGAAAAAACATCATTTGGGCTAAGACCTGAAAAATGAACAGTTAGCCTGGCCAAGATTAGGAGAAGGATAATCTGTATAGAGGGTAGCATGAACGAAGGCCTCAGAGGAGAAAGAACTCTGCACGTGACAAAACAGAAGAGGCTCCGGAATAAGCCAGCAACACTACAGCATGAGTGGATGAGGAAGAAGAGTGGTTTGAGACGGGGCAGCCAAACAGACAGGGAGTCCAGTGCCAAGGTCACATGTGATCTGGTAGCCCATGTAAGAAGGACTCATTTTTATTTTAAGGGAAAAGGGGAGTCACTGACAATGGGTTTTAGGCAGAGAAATTGGAGATTCCTTCCCATTTGTAAATGATCCCTCTGCCAGCTGTATAAGAATGAGCTGAAGCTAAAATAGGCAGATATCAGCATATAATAGTAGCTCAACCAATGTGATGCAGGGAGATACAAAGTAGTGGTTGCTTTGAAAAATATTTGAGAATGTAACCAACCTAGTACCAATCACTTATCTTTTGCCACTTCACTAATGTCTGGCTCATACCTTCCCTGAGCTCCAGAGACACAGAACCCTCCAGACATCCCACAAACACTTCACAGTCAATATATCCCTCAAATGAGCTTGTCATCTTTCTCTCAAACTGAGCTTCCTCCTGTATCCCAGACCTTGGGTTTTGGCAATATCATCCACCTATTGTCAGAATATCTTCCTCCTCTGCCAAACCTCAAATAGTCATTAGTCCTTGGCTTCCAGCTTTCCCCATCTGTTCTTTTCTCTCCACTTAGACCTCTATGCCCAAGATGAAGTTCTCCTCAGCCCTTGCATCTCCAATTCCAACCTCATTCTCTTTATCCCAACCTCCACACTGCAGCCATATTGCACATAAAACACTGCTTCAAATCCTCTGACAGCTCCCTGTTGCCTTCATGATAAAAATCAGAATGATTAGCACAATACTAGACACAAGATCTGGTTCCTATTTATGCCTCTCCAGCCCCAGCTTTCCTGGATTCCTGCTGGACCAAAGTCTTTGCAACTCCAACCACACCGTGTTCTTGCTTGCAAGTATGACTTGGCATTTCTCTCTCCTCACCTGGCCAACTCCCACTCAGTTGTCAAGGTTCTACTTAGAAGGACTGCCTGTGTAAGGCTCTTACGACCTTGATGCCTCTCAACTGGATTCCTTTGTGCTTGGCCTGCTTTCTGTGGGTGACTACATCACTGGAATTGTAACTGTATTTCTCCAGGTAGAAGATAGGGTTCCTGCAGGGTAGAAAACAAAGACTTTCCATTTTGTTCAGTCTCTGCTCTTCTCACACATCAGTGAAGAAGTGCTTCCCTGCTCTTCCAAATCTACATCTAAACCCTTTTCCCTACTAAAGCCAAGGTTTTCTCTTATCCATGAAGCTCGGGAATTCTCTAGCTCACACCGAATTCCTACCATGCTGGTCAGTTATCAATTGGTTGAGTTTGTATATTTTCAGATAGGCCCTAGGTTAAAATTCTTTAGTCCAGTGGTTAATATTTGAGTTGCAAATTGTTCAATAATATGAAACATGGCCCCTGTTACCAGCTAAAAAAGTACTTTAAATAAGGTAGAAAGTGAAAGATACTTGATTTGTTGAATGGTTAGGACTGAATGTTGAATTACTGGCATCTTTTAACTGACATTTTTAAAACATGAAAAGTGATTACCCAAAAAATCGTTGGCGATGGTATGGAAGGACTCTGAGGGTAAGGCAGTACCAATTTCATCTATGAGATCAGACTAGTTCATCAAGGGCAATCCGGACTCAGAATCCAACTCATGCCATTTAAACACATAAAGCCTGGAATGCCAACAAATTAGATATAATGGGAATACGAAATACATGGTTGATTCCTGGAACAATCACTTCTGATACCCAAGGCAGTCGATATCATTCCCCATTCTGGAAAACCAAGTAAGTAATCAAAAGCTAGCTTCAGCACACAATGACAGTAAGCAGCAGTGGAAGGTCACGGGAGATGGCCATCCATGTTGCAAGGACTGGGAAAACCGAGGTAATTCACCATAGGGCAGAACAGTACTTCCTAAATGAATTCTGCTGGGATTGAGCTGTGCTACCCAGAGATATGGCTAAAAATAACTCAAAGTCAGCCATTTATAGTAGCATCTGGGATGACATACTTTTTCAGTGTTGTGATATCTGAAAAGTTTTTCCCTTCTTGCTTGGGTGTCTTTGTTTCATTTAAAGACACATGACTTAATGTGTCCCCACCCTAAAGGGGCTTTGTAAGAGTGGTGGCATTTGTTTCTCTACTGGCACAAAGGGCTCTTCCTAGTGGCCCATGTGCACAGAAAGTTTCACTTCCTCAGGCAATACCAGCTGCTTATGACACTCAATTTAGGTAGATGCCAGCTCTTATTATTTTTCTATATGCAGCAGAGGTTTAAAGTTTTGATGAAGTTTGTGAAGTAGAATGACCTCACAATAAGAATTAAACCTTCCCTTGGGCCTTCCCTTTTATTTTATTTTTAAAAATGTTGGCAGTATTTTCTTAAGTATATTACTTCAACACTGAGCTTCACTAGCTCCTGGAATGTCACTCCATAAGCTCAACCAAGGAGTTCCACTGTCGACATTCATCTTTTCTCAATCCATGGCTTTTTCTTTCAGCAAGTTTTTCTATGCACTACAGTGCTATGGCTATCAATACACTATGCTAAAATCTAGCAGTAAGAAGTATCTGATGTAATACCCAAAATAATGTAATTATAGCCATAGCTACATTATGCTAAAAATCCAATACCAAGACAGTATCTGATATAATATCCCAAAGTATATATTCTAGTATTTTAACATAGTTGCAATTAATGGCAATTTCTTTAATATACTGTCGTTTCTAGACATTTTCTTTTCCAGAACAAGATGGAAAACATGAGAACAAAATCTAATGCTGAAATCCTTTACCAAAGTAAAAATAAAACTAGTATCTTTTTTTTCTTTTAAATCTCTCAAACAACATTTAGTGTTCCAGGGACCGTATCTGATGCTGCGTCCAGTCAGTCAATAGATATTTATAGAGGAGTGGAGGTACTACAACCAAACTGATGATCCAAGCTCAGATCCTGCCCTCAAGGAACTTATTTTTCTCCAACTCTGAGACCAAGTACCCAGTATCAAATAGGCTCTGAGTCTAGAAGAATCTTAGGCAAATAAATTAGTCAGCATTCTTTAAAAAAACTTAGTTCCTTTTATTTTCTTCTCATAGGAAACTATTTACTGGGGGGAAAAAGGTTCTTCATGGCTTCCAGAGTATGATGCAAACTTACTCGTTCAGCACCAAAGAGCCTCACTGCTCTAACACCCCTCCTCCCTCAGGCTGCCTGCCGACCCGACCCAGTGATTCATCTTTCCATTGTCACCTTCTCTGTGAAGCCTCCTTGAACTCCGTCCAGGTCCACTTCAGCCACAGGCAGAGTTAATTAGTGCCTGCTCTGGCTTACCAAGGTACTACACTGTAATTATTTGTTCACTCATCACTCTCCAGTTAGACTGAGACACTGCTTTCTGAAGATACAGGCTGTGCCTTACTCCCTCTATACCCTGAATATGTAGCCAAGAGCTAAGAATATAGATGAATGGATATAATGAGGTCAAGCACAGAAACAAAAAATTCAGTACAGTGTTTCAAATAAATAAGTTCTTCCCTCCTCCCATATACCCAATTCTTTGCTCAATTTACTTATTCAATAAAAACAAAAGACATATTCATGATGGTGATATCTAATTTCAAGTTCTGTAAGAATAGGAAAGCCTTCTATTGCTTTAAGTACAAGTTTCTAGACTAAAAAGAACAAAACAATTTTCTCTTCTCTGGTTGGGTCTTTGAGAATAGTCTCATGATTCACTGACATTTAAACCTTATACAATAGTCTTTCAATTTAGGTTTGTATTCATCGCATAACTGGCTTTGGATGATGATAATACACTTCAACGATGAATCATATTAAAAGTTAGGTTAGTTATTCTAATTTTTAGGGTTCTAGAAACCAAGATTTTCACTTTCAGTATTTACTGCATATGGCTTCATAGATCACACGTATGTCATGAATCACTACTTCACTGATCCATTTTCATCCATGCTGCTGGCTGTAATTTCAGGGTCAGAGTAACTAGACTAAGACTGGCCGGACTATAGGAAATGTCCCTTTAACATATCTAACTTCTTCTAGGACCAAGGTTCACCTTTCCTTATTAAGGTTTCCCAAATGGTAGTCTCATTCTGATTTGTTTCAGAATACCAACTGTGACTACAGGAAAAGTTAACTCATGACTTAAAAAACAGAACAGAGCTGAGGGTGGTGTTTGCACCTCTAGCCCCAATTAGGTTGGAGGCTGAGGCAGAAGGATCACTTGAGCCAAGAGCTCAAGACTGATCTAGGTAACATTGCAAGAACAACATATAAACTTCCATCTAAAAACAGTTTAGTATACTCCCTCTGTGCATACCAATGACTACCACATGGAGATCACAGAACAGGACCCCAAAGGTGGTAAGAATCAAATGAGTACAATGCGCCAGGCGGGGATCAGATGCCTGGGATACAGAGATGAACAGGACACTAGGAGAGTCCAACCTAAGGAAGGTGTCCAATGTGCAAGCAAGCTCAAAAGGACTCCAGTGCAGCCATAGCTCTAGATACGAAATATCATGACATCCCACAGAGAAGGAGTTACTAATTCTGCCATTTGGGGGTGTGAGGTAACGGGGAATAGTGGGAGATGAAAGTAAAGAGAGTCCTATCGAGGCCCTGATCCTCTGCATCACCCTTCTCTTGTCAGCTGCATTCACTTCCAAGGCGTCAGCAGCCACCCCCACTAGTCAACCCATTCCACATATGAAATCTCAGCCTCCATCTCCAGTCTCTATGGACTTGTGCCACGTTCCAATAGGCCTCAGGATATGTCTCACGGGCACCTCACACACCATGAGCCATGCTGATCGCCCCCAGACCACCTCTTCCTTTATTTCCTCCTCTGATTTTAGAGTTAGTATCCAAATTATAAACCTTCTTCTATGTCCTCCTTTACTTACCTTTACCCATCACTTCCAAGAAGCCACTAAATCCTTTCAATTCCACTTCGAAAATCTCTCCCAAATCTTCACTTCTCTGGTCCCCTTGTTCTTCTACTCAGGCCTACATCTTTTCTCTCTTCAATTATTGCAATAGCCACAAAAATTAGTCTATCTACTCACTGTCCCAATTTATTTATTCATTCATCAAATGATGCAAGGCATTATGGGTACTGCAGAAAACAGACAAAGAAAATGTCTGCTTTATGGAGCTTTCTATTCACTCATTACAGCCAATTTCCTTTTTAAAAACAATGTGCTCAGGGGCTGGGGAGTTAGCTCAGTGGCATAAGCACCTGCCTTGCAAGCAGGTCGTGAGTTCAATCCCTGGTACCAATTAAAAAAAAAAATAATCATAATAATGTGCTCATCATACATACTGACTTCAAGTCTTCAACTGCCTCCTACTGCCCACAGAATAAATTTCTAGCATAGTCTACAGACTCTTCAACTTTTAGCAACCCTACCCTTTCAATCTTTTGCTCTGCTACCTTTTAAACTCCAAGCATTCAGCCATTTCCCTTTTATCCAAACTGTATGTATTTCTTCAGTCTTCACCATGTTCACAAATGCTACTTCCTAAGCCTGGAACATTTTTTCCTCTTCTCTCTGGGTGGACTCAGGCAGGGAAATTGGGATTGCACAGTTTACTGACAACCAAAGCACCTATCTGTGAAGTCCTCTGGGGTCTGAGGCCAGAGCTTTGTTAGGGGTGTCTCAAAATATGGCACAGAACATTTGTAAGTAACACTACCCGGCAGGTTGCAGGACCTTCCTTCTCATTCCTTTCAATGTTTCTGATCTGACTGAAAAAAAATAAAAGCCACACAGCTGGGGGTGACTAGTCTCAATTTATATTTATGACCATTAACTTCAAGTGAGTCCTTAAAGCTGCCCTGCAATTTGACATTTCTCTTCCTCAAATACAGTACTAGACTGTTTCATACCTCCCCCTTTTTCCTGGAATTCACTTAAAACTTTTCTTATTTCCTGTTAAAACAAAAAACAGAAAACAAAAAACCTGACACAAAGACTTCCAAGTTCCCAGCACTCCCACCCAAGTCAGCAGGAATGCTCTGTCTTCATCTTACCTCAGACAAACTGTGTCCTGCCAAGGTTAAACTCCATTTGGGCAGCAAATCCCATTGTTTCTTGCTTAAACACTCCAGAAATTCCATCCTCTTTCCTGCTTCTCCCCATTTATCCTAGACTACAGTATTTCCATCAACTTACGAACATGTACTAATGCTCTTGTGAAAAGAAAAACAGAATTTAAAAATTCTCAAACTCTCTTCCAGCAAAATCATGACTCCTCTTTTTTTTTTTTTTTTTTTCCGTTTTTATCGGTACCAGGGATCCAACTCACAACTGCCTGCTTGCAAGGCAGGCGCCATGACACCTCTTTCTAGGAAATATTCCAGTTATTTAACAGACTGTCTCCAATTCCTCACCTGCCATTCTCTTTGAATCTATACAATCAGGCTTTTACTCTGACCACTGTTTTTTCAAATGTTTTTTATTAGTGTATATTGGTCACATAGATTAATGGGTTTAATTTTATCAATTTGAACCTGCACACAACACACTTTAATCACTTCCCCATCACTTGCTTGCCCCATCCTCTCTTATTTTCACATTTTGGGGGGGGGATCAACAGGTATAGTATATAATATTTTTTGTCTTTTTCCTTTTTACCGGTACCAGGGATTGAATTCACGACCGCCTGCTTGCAAGGCAGGCACTTATGCCGCTGAGCTAAATCCCCAGCCCCTGGTATAGTATATTTTTGAAAGTTTTTTGGTTATATATATATATATATATATATATCATAGGGAGTTTGTACCTGTACATGATATATTCTGATTCCTCTCTTTTACCCATCTCTTCTCTTCCCTTCCCTTCAACTCCTCTTCCCCTTCTTGATACATTTTATCCTTTAAAAAAAAATTTCCCCCTTTTCCCTTCTTTCCTTTTCCCCTTCCCGCACCATAGATCCTCTTTCCTTCGCAACAATTTCTTCCCATTTCACAATATCTTCTATATGTCTTGGTCCTTATTTATTTTTTTAGTTACTCCTCCCTTTGAAACTGTTCTTTTCAACCTTACTTACAACCTTCACTTACTTAAAACAGTATTATACTGGGGGCTGGGGATTTAGCTCAGTGGCATAAGCGCCTGCCTTGCAAGCAGGCAGTCGTGAGTTCAATCCCTGGTACCGATAAAAAGGAAAAAGACAAAAAAAAAAAAAAAAACAGTATTATACAATTGATCATCCCCATTCGATCATCTCTGAATACCTTCCTTACTTGGCTTCCAGAATATTATTCTCTTTTTTTTTCCTTCCTGTCATCATAGTCTGTACTTTTCAGTTTCCTCTGCTAGTTCCTTCCATCTTCCCACACTCAACATCTGTAAGTCCTAGCTCTCAGTCCCTTCCATCAACACCATCTTGGTTCTAAGCATTGTCTACATGCACACCTCTAATCCAGGAATTCTCTGAATTCTGACCTCCTTCAACTGCCTATTCAACACATTGGGGTATCTAACGGGCTTAACACCAAAATCTTGATAGCACCCCTCCAATCTGTTCTTCTCAGTCTTCTCCATTTAATAACACCTGAATTCTGTCTTGCAAGTTGTTTAAGCCAAAACTTGAGGCCGCTGATCCCTCTTTATCTCACATTACACACTCAGTCTGTCACCAATTCCACTGCCCCTATCTTAAAACGTAACTTTCATCTTGGTCCAACTTACCATACTTTATCACCACAATGTTCTCCTAACACCTTCCCCTTTCAAACATCAGCCAGGAGATTCTGCCATTCTTAAACCATCCAGGGACTTCTTGTCTCAAACACATGAAAAAGCTCACGATGGACACTAAGGCCTAACCTGGTCATCCCTTACACATCTGACCTCGTCCCCCTCCACTCTCTTCCTGTCTACTCTGGCCACAATGGGTTCCTTTCTATTTCCTGAACACATTTTTCCATCACTTTTCTACTTACTCCTCACCCTGTTTGAAAGATTTTTCTGGTTATCCATATGGTTCACTCTTCATGTTTGGTTTTGTTTTAATCACATGGCACTTTCTCTGTGAGGCCTTTCTTAACTACTCTAAGTGACAACTTCCTCACCCCTGATTTTTCTCCATCACTCATTACTATCTAACATACCGTGTACCTTAATATATGTCATTTATTGTCTGTCTCTTCTCCTGAAGAGTTCCAGGAGAGCAGATTTTTATTTGTGCTATTCACAGTTGTATCTTCAGAACCAACAACAGTGCTAGCATATGTAAGTTGCTCAGACGGTGGTTTGTTGAACGAATAAAATGAAAATTCTACTTGCTCCGAGAATGTCTTCAGTATTCAACTGTGTTTTATGGCTCAGTACTTTGTTAGTCAAAGAATCAAGTTAGAATTCAGTAACATTAAATTGAAATGTCTTGCTTTCGTTTGCTTTTTATTACTTCTAAACTACTGGATGCTTGCAACAAAATTCTTACATACGTATTTTTAAATTTAAGAAGGCAGTTCCTTAAGAAATTACAGTGCAACTAGGACAAGAATATGGCAAAAACAGTAAACGTGGTAACTGAACGACTTAAGTTCAGGAACTTTCAGAGTTAGAGTTGTCAAGTAAATATACACAGGGCATCTAGTTAACAGGCAAACTACGACTCGTCGCTTCTATTTCCATCTTCTGATAGAACCACCAGTAGAATCTGTCCTGTCTACATACAGCCTGCGTGGCTTTTACACCTCGCCAAAATGTGTTCCTACAGGCAAGGACTGAAGTTAGGCTCCAAGTCTAAGCCGCAAAGCTCCACGGTGTTCTATGGGCAGAGAAAAACCCTGTGGGCTCAGAATGAGCAGCCCGCTCAGTCTCTACAGATCAGGGATGAAGGGAGGATTTCGAGCCCAACAGCCTTCCCCCGACTCTCAAACACCGGCTTAGCGGAGCCAAGGCTTGGCAGCCACACTCTGGCCCTTACCAATGTTGCCTTCGATGGAGAGCCTTCGGGGCTCGCGCCCCGCGTGCAGAGCCCGGAAGGAGGGCGCGCCCCCGAGCGACTTCGGAGCCATTGCGCAGAAGGGCGTTCCAAGCCGGCCTAGAAAGAGCCGCACAGTCGCCATCCCACCCACGCGCAGCGAGCTCTCACTTCCGCCGCAAGCACTTCCGCCCTCGGCGCCGCAGCTCGCCCGCCCAGGCTCGCCTCTGACGTCAGGCGACCTCCAGCAGGAAGTGGGTGGGGCTGAGCGCGCGGAGGAGGAGGGGGCCCGAGGGACCAGTCTGTTCTCGCGATGTTTATAGAACAGGCTTAAAGAAGGAAGTGGTGTGTAGGGGTGCGCGAGAGTTCGCTGATAAGGAGTTGCGTGGATGGTAGCAACCGGCCCTCTGTTCTTTGCTGGGCAAATAACATTGTAAGCGCGAGATAATCTTCATCCTCCTCATTTTTGCGTTTTTGTAGACAAAAATAATGGTAATTTAAAAAGAAGATTCTTTTTACCCAGGGGTTTGTTGTCTATATTTTATTCGACATGGGAAGAAACTGGAGGATTATAAGCAGGAAAATAACACGATCTGATGACAAAGTTACGTTTTCCGATTCCCTGTAACTCAAAGCACAATCCTGGCATATTACTGAATAAATTAAATTCGTTCATCGATTACTCCCCAACTTTTGCTTCCTGAATAAATAAATGTTCGCTCAATTGATTTACATAATAACCAAAGAATCCCACCCAGAAAAGGCGGCGGAGGCTCAGGATGTGACTGGAACTCTTTAAAACCTGACATTTTGGGTTCTGTGGGTGTGAACAATGGGCGGGGTGCGGTGCCGGACGAGGAGGGGGGTGGGGGCGTTCTGAATGAGCTTTGTAGAAGGTTGAGAAGAGCTTGGATTAGATTTACAGGTACACAAAATCCGAATTCTGCTGTCGGTGAGTTGTGCGCTGCGGAGAGACAGGGACTTGAGCTGCACACCCATCGTCAAAACAAACTGAAGTAATGATTTACAAAGTATTATCAGAAATTCATTTCTAATTCCCATAGCTTAAATCGCAGCAGTCAAACCCGGAGAAGCCAAAACAACTTTCAAGCAGCACTTGCACGTGGACAGTTTTTGGAGACTGGACTCTGGTTTCAGGGTGGGTAGGGAGGGGCTAGGGCCTGTGACACCTGTCTTGAAACCGTTTGCATGGAAACATGTTTTTTTTTTTTTTTTTATTGATGTTATATGGAATGACTCAAGTCACATCTGTATATTAAGTATGTTGTTTTTAAAAAACACCCTGAAAATTTCTTTAGGGTGGGTGGGGCACTGGTGGAGATTAGAGTAGCCAAAGTCCAGCCATCCTCATCCCTACTCCTGCAGCCACTTTATGTAAAATTACTGCTTATATTTCTTTGCTTGTGTAAATTCAAACTTGGAAGTGTTCATGGGGAAAAAAAGGCTGTCTGCATGCTCAGATTCTAGCTTCCTGGAGGGACGTGAAGGTCAAATGAAGAAGTTGTAGACTAAAGGGTAGACAAGCAACTAATCTTCCCCTAAAAAAGCTCCAGCCGGGGATGTAGCTCAGCAGCACAGTGTCTGGTTTGCAAGTGTGAGACCCTGATAGCGATTCCTAGTACAAAAAAAAAAAAAGCCGCTAAAAGCTATTTTTAAAACTTTATGATGAAGGGTATATGTGGGGGGGCATGTTTGTAAATGCATGGTTCAATGAAATGTTCACAAACTGAAAACTTGCATTCACCTGGATTCCAATGAAGAAATAGAGCATTACCAGCATCTTCAGAAACCTCCACCTCCCTGCCAGTTACTATAGCTCAAGGGCAACTGCTAGCCTGTTTCTAACAGTAAAAATCAATTTCGCCTCTTCTGTACATGAATGAAATCATCTACTATGTATTTTACCTTAAAATTATCTGTAAGATTCATCTGTGTTCTATGTAGTAGTTGTAGTTCATTCATTCTCACTACTACAGAGTATACTACTGTGTTGTTATAGTCCAATGCATTTTATCCATTCCACTACTGATAAACATTTGGGAGTTTCTAGATGTGAGCCATTATAACAGTGTTGTTATGAGTATTCTTGTATATGTTTTTGGTAAACAAAAGTATCTACTTCCCCTGTTATATACCTGGAGATGGAACTATTGTGTGATAAATTATATGTATGCTCAGTTTAAGTCAATATTCTCAAACAGCTCAACAGTTTCACAGTGTCTGACTATACCAACTGACAGCGCCACCATCAGCGATTGAGAGTTCTGGTTGCTCCACAACCAACAGATGGTTTTGTCAACTTTTTTTCTCATTTTATCCATTCTTCTCCATGTAATGATGCCTTGTAGGTTTAATGTGCATTTTTCCTAATAATTAATTACTAGCCATTACAGAACCCTTTGTTGTGAAAGACCTGTTCAAATATTTTACCCATTTTTCTATTCGCTGTCTTTTGTTTTATTGTTTATATATTTTAGATATGGCTCCTTTGTATTTTTTGGTCCTTTGGATTGCTTCTAAAAAGTTTTTAGTCCTTGTTTTTATATAAGTATAAGTTAATAAGCTAAAATATTGTTTGCCTAATTGCTTGCAAATTATCCATATGTCATTATTAATAATGATTCTTTTTGGTGGGGTTACTGGGAATTGAACTCAAGGACCTCACACTTGCAGGGCAGGTGCTGTGTCACTGAGCCAAATCCTCAGCCCTGGGCAATGATTCATCTATCCTCCTTTACTTACTCATGCTTACTTGATTTTTTTCATTATACCATGCATAAAGATTTAGTATACTTCCATATTCCTGGGAGAGTTGGGCTGGCCCAGCTGGGGTCAGGCATTTAACATTAGTCTATCAGCTGTGGCCAAGAGATAAGCCTCTAATGGAACAAACATAGGCGTTGGGGCTCCACCTCTATGCATGACGTGCAATTAAAGAAAACATGAGCAAGAAAGATACAAAGAAAAATAAAAAAGTTTGGGATCAGTTTTTACTGGCAGTGGAAAATAGTGTTGTTGTCCTAGCTCAAGATAGCAAGAAGACAGGAGTAATGGCACATTGGTGAAAGAATTGCCTTGCACTTAAGTGGGAAAATGAGATACTTTCTGCACCTGGTGGGTGAGAGTAGGAGGGGTGCTGTCAGATACTTGTCAGAGTTTGATGCTGAAACATGTTTCTTGCAGGGATTCAACATCTACTCATTCGTCCAGTATTTGCTGAGTATCTACTAGGTGCCCTGTACTCTGGAAGGAGTTACCTATACCTTGGAAGGAGTTAATATTTTTCAAATGTTTATAAATACTACTGTGATAAATAAAAGGCTGACTAATATTACATAAAACAACATGCAACCATTAAAATGGGAGACAGACAATAATATGACTTTCTTCCACTGCTTAGAGTTTTGGTCAACTACGTCTCATTAACATCAAAGATTTTCTAAACCAGGTGTGGTGGCACATGCACTCAGGAGGCTGAAGCAGGGGGATTGCTGCGAGTTTTAGGCTGGCCTGTTCTACAAAATGAGCTTACGGCCAGTCTGAACTTCATGGTGAGACCCTGTCTCAAACAGGCACACACAGACACACACAGACACACACACACACACACACACACACACACACACACACACGATTTTCTAATGTGCTGGATTGTGCTAAGAAGTATATTTCCTGGATGCCATGCCAACAAGGCTCTTACTAGAGTTGGCCAAAAGAGGATCTAGTGTGGAATTTGAAATGCAGTTGTCTGCTAGGGAGATCAATGCAGTCCATAGAATGACAGATAGATGAGCCCAGCAGGCATGTCCCATTTAGTCTTAGCAGTGACCCCTCTCTACCCTACAATTCCTTGAAGATCTTCCATTTCCTAGCTTCCGCTATCTTTATTCCCATAATATCCATGATAATTCTGTTCTTCTGAATGAACTCTGACTGCCACATTTAATCATAAAGGGAAGCACATAAGGAGGTGGTTAACAATGTAGGCTTTAGCTGAATGCGGTGACACATGGCTATAATCCCAGAACTCTGGGATGAGGCAGGAGGATTCCAAGTTCAAGCCCAAGTTCAATACCTTGGTGAGACCTTGCCTCACAATAAAAATTAAAAAAGAAAAGAGGTCTGGGATGTAGCTCAATGCCAACACCCTGTGTCAATCCCCAATCCTGGGGTAGGGACAGGGACAGGGAGAATATGGCTTTGAGGGCTGGGAATGTGGTTCAGTTGTAGCACTCTCACCTAGCATGTGCAAGGCTCTGGATTTCATATCCAGCACTGCAAAAAAGGGGGAAAAAGCCCTGTGGATTCTAATGTCTTGGAGTTGAGAATTAAGAAAGTGCATCCACTTGGAGCACGTGCTTTTCACTTTCTTTAAGCAACTGTCCTTCTGTCTTAGCAGTTGATATCCTAATATCTACAGGATAATCTAGAACATAACTGTTTTTTCTTTAAGCAGGTTAGGAGTTGGGGTGACTTGGGGTGGAAGGAGTCAAATGGGTATGGGGAGAAGTGGAAGTATGATCTGATCACCTTGCCCACCTTCCCCCTTATGTGAAAATTCCAATGTACCTCTAGAGCAGGTAGTACCAGTGCTCCACCTATCATCAGAGCCTCTGTGTGTGTGTGTGTGTGTGTGTGTGTGTGTGTGTGTGTGTCCCTGCCTCCAGCCTCCTTCCTGTGCTTTCACTTCCAGCACCCAGCTTCTCCAGAGGTCTGCCTTCAGCCTGTGGGTGCACATACGGAAAGCTAAGGATTTTACATCACAATCCCTGGCAAGCGTGGGACTGTGAAAGTCAGAGGACCTTGGTGGGGCTCAGCTAACGCTGCCTTCTGAGGGGCTTTGCCTGAGAGCACCTCTGTGCTGCTCTTCTTCCCATTTCCTTTTCTGCCTCTCTCTGTCTTAGTAAGTCACTTGCAAGTAACTCATTTTAGGACCTACTTCTAGAAAAACTTTCCTAAGACTGAAATCCTCTACAGACTTCTGAAAACATAGTTCTCATCCAAGCTCATCCTCAGAAGGCAAGTGAGGTGATGACGAGAGAGGAAAGTTTGACACTAAAGTCCCCTGTGCTTAACCACTGGACCCCACTTTCTTCAAGTAGTTATTCGGGATAGCTCAGGGACCAGTTAGGACGTGATCAGGAGCACAGAGCCTGGGTTTGGCTAGGTGAAGAAGGGAAAGAGGCACCAGACAGAAGTGAGGACCTAGCTCTGCCACTAACTGAGTGGTCTAATAATTAATAATTTTTTTTATTGTACCGGGGATCAAACTCACGACCTCATGCTTGCCAAGCAAGCACTTGTGCCACTCAGCTAAATCCCCAGCCCCTAATAAATTAGTTTAAAAGGATGCTAATGTCTGCTTCATGAGGAGGAAATCCATATGTAGCTCCTAACTCTGTCCTTAGCATATTGTAAGCACTCAGTGTTAGGTATTATTATTATTATTATTATACTGTTTTTTCTTTATAGTGATTTGTGGGTGCTTCTATTTCTCCTCATATCATTGCCTTGTGTGAACAGTATGTGTGTGTCTCTGCCTTTATTCCATAAGTTCTTCACTGGCAGGAATCATTTTTGTGGGAAACAAATATCAGTTGGCTTTAGTTAGGAATTCTGCATATGAAAATTTCAGTAAATATTTGTAAAACTAAACAAATTAAACAAAACTGACCAATGAGGGGGGGAGTAAATAAGGGGAGAGACAGACAGACAGAGAGCCAGAGACAGAGCAGGAGGAAGAGGAGGGGCAGAGGGAAAGGGAAAGAAAGTGTTCTTAAGGGTACTACTATTTCCTTGATTAGTTTAGGGGCAAAATACGACCTGATCTTCAGTGACAAAGAACCTCAGAGAGCTCTTAAGCCTATTATGACCTAAGTACTTTGCCTAAGTACTATTGTATTTGAGCCACTTATGTTGCATCTTGTGAGCCTTGAGTTCATGTGCTTTTTCTTTTTCTTTTTTTTTAGTACTGGGAATCAAACTTAGGACCTTG